AACTTCCTCAATTCAATCTTTCCGGCCTGTTTAGTTCGTAGCTCAATCTAAGACTATATGAGAGCGCTGTCCAAGGAATCATTACTTTCATATTATCTTTCTAAATTGTTTGTTTGTGTTTGAAGATATGTGAAGAGGAGCCCTGTCGGGAGGGAATTTTGTTTTCAGATTTCCTTTAACCAGCTTAAAGATCAGTATCAGCTGTCAACGGTAATAGAGATGTAATTTTTAGCTACGCTGTTGTAAACAAAGTTCTTTTAAGAAGAATAGACAGTATTGTTGTCTTTCCACTGACATCAATGACCATCAAAGAGGTAAGTCTATGATAGTTGGATCGGTTCTTTTAAACCTTGGCTATCGGCTCATATGCGTACATCACTCAAATGCATTTTTTGAAAGTGAATCATAAGAATGACTTAAAGAGAATAAAGGCCATTATTTTCTCTTGACTATTTCAAGTGTTATTGTCAGTGAGAAAATTTCCCATGTCTAGCCTACACGTAGGCTAGACATGGATTAACCAATTTTGAAGAAACTTGCTGTCGAGGATGGCCTTAATAAGATGGTCGAAAAGCCTAAAAGCCGTTGGCTTTATTAAAATAATCTTATTTCTATCCAGAAAAGTCCAAAATATGTGCGAATACTTGTAGAATATCGAGAAAACGGCTCTAAAGTTCTGGGTGCTTTCGATTGGTAAATCCAGATTTCGGATTTTGTAATAAAAAATGAAAAGCAAAAACGGATTTCGACGCTGAAAATTCTGTCCTCAAGGTGGATTAAAAAAAATCCAAAGCTATTTTTTTTTTCTTTTTATAGCCAACGGTTAACCTCATTGAGACACCTTCTAGAAGAGATCCTTTTTGGATTTCCCGGAAAAACGCAAAACATATAAATCCATGAGATCTGGAGCTGAATTTCTTATTTGAGATCCACTTTGAGGATGGATTTCTCAGCGTTGAAAGTTGTTTTTGGATTTCATGTTTTACCGCCAAATCCGAATTCCCGATTTCAAAATCAAAATCCAGATTCGTCGAAGTTAAGCTCCCAGATTTCTTTGAACACGGCGTCTTCTCTCTGATTGGCCTAGAGTAGCTCTCGACCCAGTTTCTTAAAAGTCACATTCAAAATGGCGGACGAGCTGCTGTGAATTTAGTGTTGAAAGATTCGATGTCGCACTGAATGGTCAGTTTACTTCGACAGTTGTGTTACATTTTATGACCGATGATGAGCTGTTCTAAAAACTCGTCTCGTCTTCGCTTTGTACATCGGATGTGTTCAGTAACGTCTTTCTACCGTGATGAAATTCTAATTTTACTAGGAACCCCCCGACAGGTGAGAGATCTTTAAAGAACTTTGACAATGAAATGTATCTTATTACATAGGAACGTTACTTACTCATCTTCAAACAAATGTTGCACTGATCACCAAGGAATGGGGTGATGGAAAAAACAATGACTTCCAGTCCATGGACTTAACCCTGTTGGACAACTCAAATGAACTACCCTAACATGCACCAATCCTTCGATGTTTTTTCTTTTGTTTTCGTTAGTCACAACAAACACCACGAAATTTAAGCGATTATTTTAAACATTAAAAATCTTCTCTTCGAATTATAGCGTGATCCAAGTCGTGTTACATTCATTATCGTTGACGAAGAAAGGTGAGAAATCGATAATATTAAATGTCCTTTAGTGTATAGATTGACGCAGATACAAAATGTATCTTCCATGAACATCAGATGGCATGGCTATGTTTGGAAGGAGATTCTTTTAAAGGACTTGCACTTACACATTTTAAGCCGCATTGTAAACACATTTATGGTCTAGAAGAGCAACACTTTTTTTTTTTTTTTTTTTTTTCTTTACTGATTTTCTTATTCTAAATGAATTTAAGATTCAGTCATGGTGATTTATTGCAAGAACGGTTTGCTTATCAGAGGCTCTTAAGCATTAAAATAAGAGCTAAAAGATAATAGACGGTTAATCCCTTTTACAAAAATTCAAATCTCTGAGTGTGTTCTTCAAAGTTGACCTCAAAAGCATTTAAATGGAAATCAGCCAATTTGTCTCATCGGATTTTTAATTTAGCTAAGTTAGACATTGCAAAACCTAAGTTTCAGTTGTGCTCTGCAGGCATCAAGTGGTCTCCCCAGAAATTTGAAATTAGAAGGCAGAAATTGTAATTTCTCTTACTGTTGCAATACCTCATTAATTTAAAAGTATCTTTTGCAACAAGTTTCATAATCAGTTATCCCATAGCAAGTTTCAGTGTCCTCTGGAACACTTTCATGAAGACAAAGAGACAATTATAAATAAGTAAAGTTTGTTATTTATAAACTGTGTGGTGTAGAAAATGAATTTGAGAAAAAAACTCAGTGAAACCTAATGTGTAAAACTTCTTTGAAAATCAAGAATTTGCAATTATGTTAAATGAACATTTAATTCCTGTTATTTTTTCTTGGCTTAGTTTTCATTTTCCATCTTTTCTTAAGTTTTTCTGTTTTCTTTCTAGGTCCAATTAGCTGTAAAAACCAGGTATATATATAACAGGGTGTATATAACAGGGTGTAAGCAACGGCCAAATTAATCCAGTCATTTGAGTGACTTTTTTACATAGCATGAGACAATTAAATGCTGATATTTTTAGTAGCAGATTGAAGTGATGATGCTAAGATGACCTAAGGAGCAAAAGTTTGGGTGCAATTGACAACATGCTGGATTTGTCTAAACTTTTTTAAGGAAGCAACTTCCTGCAGGTAAAAATGAAAATTCTTGAATGGGTATTATCTGTTGTACTAAAATGTTGGTTATGTGATCTGTCTTTGATTTAAAAAAAAGAATGGTGTCTACTTGTGATTCTCAGCAGTGATTTTGCTTTTAACTTAAAGCAAAATCACAGTTGAGAATGACAAGTGGACACCATTCTTTTTTTTCAATAAATGTAAAACTAGGGGAAGTACTCAGCAATGAGGAGACATAGAGTAAAATATGATAACATGTCTGACATTGACAGTGTCATTTTGATTGAAAGGTTTTTAAATACTAGCGCTTATTTGGACTCAGTTTGTGCCCAGTAGTTAGATGGTTTCTAAAATAGTCTGCCAATAATCTTTGTTGTTTTCATTATGCCTTTATTTTTACTACTAACAGCTGGTATCTTCAGTCAAAACATATGTAATACCATTGCTGCTATGACATACAGTCATGTGAATTTTATGAGCATTATTGGAGGCATTGTGGCTGAGTGGTTAGGGCACTGGACTTAAGTCTTGTGGTCCCAGGTTCAGCTCTTCACCCCAATACTCACTGTTTTGTTTTCAGTTGCCCTAAGTTTAACTCCCAAGCTGTGCTTATAAAAAGCTTACTGGTCTGCCCTCTGGTGAGTTGGGATCTTTGGTTTTGCAATGTTTATTTACAAGCCCTACTGGGGAAGTGGTCCATGATTATTATTATCATTATTATTGTAACTGAACTATGATGATAATGAAAATGCTGTCAGAACATTTTCAAGAAATTTACCATTATTCAGAATCAATAATTGTCTTTAAAACAGTTAACTGATCAGGAACTAATATTCTTGTCTTCTCTATTTATACAGTCTTGTTGCAGTTGGGTGAGGGAAGCGAGTATCTCAAGAGGATCGCAAACTTCAGAAAGAGAAAAAGGACATTATTTGGTGAGTCTTGCTTCTTGGGGAGTTCTTCTACTCTGCAAAAGGGTTTCTATTTGTTAAAAAATTGTCCCTATTCTGTGTGAACATCCGCTTGATGCTACTTTTATTGATGACAGAGCCCTTTCTATTTCACCCATACTAATATAATGATTGTTTTTTTCATTTTTTTCTTACAAAGTAAGAAAGGAAAGGGTAGGAGTTAAAACTGTTCCCTCATAATATATTTTCAGAACATTGGCAATTTATTAAAGACTATAGAATGGTTATGGCACAATTTCCAGCTGCAGACTGCGTAAGAGACATACAGGATGATAGAGTGTACCAAAAATTCATCCAGCATGACCCTTGTGCCAGAGGAAAGAAAGTACTTTTAATTGTAGTTACTACTGCAGTGCACTGTTGATTAAGTCCAAGAAGTTTAGTATCAGTGGCCACTTATTTGTTTTCTTGTGGAGCTACCTCCTCAAGAAAGATACAAATTTGAAAATATCTTACTAACTGGACTGTGGTATGGGAAGTCTAAACCACATGTGCCACTAATTTCAGAACATTATACCAGTAAATTATTCAATATGGCAAATGGGAGTAATTGTAATAATGAAACATGTGAACTTGTGTCATCAGTGTGCAGAATCCAATCTGTTGTATCACACCTGCCTGCCAAAGCCTTGCTTTTAAATATCAAGCAGTACAATGGTAAATTTGGCTGCATTACGTGCAAACATCCAGGGAGGTACAGTCATTCTGCCCGGCAAATACGTGCAAGGTTGTAGGAATACTGGCCTTCTGGTACTGTGGCTGTCAGAGCAGCACACGAAACCAGGATGTTTGGGAGAATTGGGGAGGCAAGAGGCACCACAGTGTTTGGCATTAAAAGAGAAAATGTGTTTTGTCAATTGGTTGACATTTCAGACAATTTACCTCTTGACTGAATGCATTGTGTTTGCAAAGGCATCCTGAAAAGACATGCAGCTATTCAAACCTTGGTTCAATCCTCAGTATGCTACAGAGTCAAACAGTTTGCTAGGATTAGTCATGAGCTAGACAATATGTTCCTGTCTATCAAAGTGCCACATGATACCATGTAGTATTGCTGAATTAAAACACTGGAAAGCATCAGAATTTTGTTTGTTTGCCCTCTTTGCTTGACTGCCATGTCTTCAGTATGCTGTACTTTCTATCACTTTGCACTATACTGCTCTTCATTTCCTGCACTCAGTTCCTATTTCCAAACCTTGTGTAGAGGAGGTTCAACTTTTACTTGATAACTTTGTGAAACTTTTACCAAGTCTTTATGGTATTGAAGAGTGTACATACAACTCCCATGCTTAATTCCACTTCTCTTTCCAAGAGTTCTTGGCCATGGTTCCTTAGCACTTACTTCTGCTTTTGTATTTGAAGCATTCATCGCTCACCTTATAAATCTGTTCTCTGGAACAAGGGGACTCCCAAAGCAAATAGTGGAAAAATTAAGGGTATGCCAAACCTACAAGGTGCATGTTCCACAGAAATGCAAATCCACACCCAGTGCTACTAGGTTTGCAAACCATCTGCTTGGTGAAAGGCCCAGTGTTCGGTATACTGAAGGGAAAATCCTGCTGCATGAACTTGTGCACTTTGAGATGCTGACACAGTTTCAAAATGTCTTTTTTGCAGCATTTGGAAGTGGTCCTGTCCCAGAATACTTGGTTTCCTATAGGACAACAAAAGATCACGTCACCTTCCACAGCATAATGTATCCTAGAAAAGGAAATTTGTGCAGCTACCTTCTCCAGTTTTGTGCACATGGGAGGAAATGCTATGGTAGAGTGGTTTTCTGCGTCCTCTTCTAAAATGTTGCCTTTGCATTGCTCACCAAGTGTGGCTTGAATAGATTGATTGTTCGCCAAGACCTTCCTCCACCACAGGATGTAGTCCTGAAGGAAGTTGTTTGTAATTGGTCAACTTTTTCTCTACGTTCAAGAAAGCGAAAGTCTCTTGCATGTGAAATGTGGTGATGTTATCAACAGGTGTCTTTATGTTTAAGGCTAGGATGGGAAAGGTTTCATCACCTTTCTAGAAACTTCCTATGAACATGATTAGTAATTTTTTTCAACGAGCTGTTAAGTGTCTTTCATATTAAATCATTAAATTTAATCTGAAATATCTGTCCAAATTTAATATGTTAATACTGTAAATGTTAAGTTTCCTGTGCACTAGGCCCTGTCTCTGCCGAGGTTTTGTCATTCAACACTAAGGTCAAACCTCAGTGCACATGTGTTTTTATTGCTTGTTATTTTTGCCTTTTCTTTGGATGATCTTGTAACTAGACTTACATTGAAGGAATAGAACATTACGGAACCATTATGGATATTGTCGCAATTTTTAAGGTCATGAACTAGGACACTTGCTTTTTTGTAAGGATTTCTCATACAGTATTGTATTCAAGCAGTGTGCAGAGGGTAGTTGATCAGATCATATAAAATGTGGAATTGAAAGCGAATTGATGACTCTTACAAATACCATTATTCCAGTGGAACAATTACCTCTTTAGAAAGCAGGTGATAGGTACCTCCTCTGTAATAAGAACTCCCTCTCTGATAAGCACCCCCTCTCTAATAAGCACCCCCTCTCTGATAAGCACCCCTTCATCTGATAGGCACCCCTCTCTAATAAGCACCCCCTCTCTAAGAAGCATCCCTCTGATAAGCACCTAATCTCTAATAAGCACCCCCTTTCTAATAAGCACCCCCTCTCTAATAAGCATCCCCTCTCCAATAAGCACCCCCTCTCTAATAAGCATCCCCTCTCCAATAAGCACCCCCTCTCTGATAAGCACCCCCTCTATAATAAGCACCCCCTCAAATGAGCACCCCTTCTCTAATAAGTATCCCCTCTCTAATATGCACGCCCCTCTTATAAGCACCCCCTCTTTAATAAGCACCCCTTTTCAAATAAGCACCCCCTCTCTGATGAGCACCCCCTCTCTTCTAAGCACCCCCTCTCTGATGAGCACCCCCTCTCTAATAAGCACCCCTTCTCTAATAAGCACCTCTCTTATAAGCACCCGCTCTCTAATAAGCACCCCCTCTCTCATAAGCACCCCCTCAAATAAGCACCTCTCTTATAAGCACCCCCTCTCTAGTGAGCACCCCCTCTCTAGAGAGCACCTCTCTGATAAGCACCCCCTCTCTAATAAGCACCCCTTTTTAAGCATCTCCCTCAAATAAGCACCACCTCTCTGATAAGCGCCCCCTCTCTAAGATGCAGCCCTCTCTAATAAGTTCCCCCCTCTTATAAGCACCCCCCTCTCTCGTAAGCACCCCCTCTCTCAGAAGCACCCCCTCTCTCAGAAGCGCCCCCTCTAATAAGCACCCCCTCTCTTGTAAGCGCCCCCTTTCTTATAAGCACTCCCACTCTAATAAGCATCCCCTCTCTAATAAGCACTTCTCTCTCCATGTAGTTTTCATCTCAGCTAGTGAGAAGTATATCATTATGAAATGATGACATTGACCACGCTTTGTCTCCCAATGATGATCTGCCTTAACAATTAGATGCCACAAAAAAATTTATATTTTTGATGCGAATAATGATCTTTTCCTTTTTGTGGTCATAGTAGCAGCTGTTTGTGAACCGCGCGATATGGTTTTCGCGAGTCGATAGCTTGCGGCCAGATTACCATGTTGACTTTGAAAATGGCAGCGTCGATAGTCAACTTCTTACCTCTTGAATTTTTTTGGCTTTGAAATCTGAAAAAACGGTAGTAGAGATGTAACTTTTAGATACACTTTTATGAGCAAAGAAAGAAATCACTTGGTTTCAGTTCCCTTAAGAAGGTTAGACAATATTGTTGTCTTTCCACTGCCGTCATCAAACCAATGATCATCAAAGAGGTTATTCCATAATAGTTGGATCGGATCTTTTTTTTTCTATCGGCTTATATGCGTACATCACTCAAATGCATTTTGTTGAAAGTGAATCATGAGAATGATTTAAATGTTTCAAGAGAAGATTTAGGCCATTATTTTCTCTTGACTGTTTCAAGTGTTATTGTCAGAGAGAAAATTTCCCAGAAAGTGGAGACATGGATTAGCCTACGTGTAGCCGTACCCTCCCCTCCCCTCGCTAAGTACGGCTACACGTAGGCTGGACATGGATGAACCAATTTTGAAGAAACTTGCTGTCGAGGATGGCCTTAATAGATAGTCGAAAAGCCTTAAAGTTGTTGGCTATATAAAAATAATCATATTTCTACTCCGAAGAGTCCAAAATAACTGCGAGTATTGGGAAAAGGGCTCTAAAGTTCTGGGTGCTTTCGATTGGTAAATCCGGGTTAAAATTTTGAAATACCGATTTGCAGTAAAAAAATGAAAAGCAAAAACAGATTTCGACGCTGAAAAATCTGTCCCCAAGGTGGATTTCCATTCAAAAACCTGAGCTAATATATATATATATATATATTTTTTTTCTTTTTATAGACAACGGCTAACCACATTGAGACCTCCTAGAAGAGGTCCTTTTTGGATTTACCGGAAAAACGCAAAACATGGAAATCCATGAGATCCAGAGTTAGATTTCTTATTGAGATCCACTTTGAGGATGGATTTTTCAGCGTTGAAAGTCGTTTTTATATTACGTGTTTACCGCAAAATCCGAATTCCCGATTCCAAAATCAAAATCCAGATTCGTTGAAGTTAAGAACTCAGATTTTTCTTAAAACAATGTCTTCTTTCTGATTGGCCAAGACTAGCTCTCTACCCAGTTTCTTAGCAGCCACATTCAAAATGGCGGACGAGCTGCCACGAGTTCAGGACTGAAAGAACCGATGTCGCACTGAATAGTCAGTTTATTTTGACAATTGTGTTACATTTGATGATGGATGATGATGACCAATCCTAAAAATCGTCTAATCTTCACTTTGTACATCGGATGTGTTCAGTAACGTCTTTCTACCATAATGTTTACCAGGAACCCCTCGACAGGTGAGAGATATTCAAAGTACTTTGACAATGAAATGTATGTTATTACATAGGAACGTTACTTACTCATCTTCACAAATGTTGCACTGATCACGAAGGAATGGGGTGATGGACAAAACAATGATCTCCAGTCCACGGACTTAGTTACGCCCGTTGGACAACTCAAATGAACTATCCTAACATGCACCAACCCTTCGATTTCTTTTGTTTTGTTTTCGTTAATCACAACAAACTCCACGAAATTTGGGCGATTATTTTAAACATTCAAAATCCTCTCCTCGAAATGTAGCGTGATCCAAGTCATGTTACATTCTTCAATATCGGTCACGAACTAAGGCGAGAAATCGATAATTTTAATTGTCCTCAAGCTTCAGTATATAGATTGACGCAGATGCAAAATGTATTTTTCATGTACATCAGTTGGCATGGCTTTGTTTGGAAGGACTTGCATATGTTTTGGAGGACTTGCACTTCCATTTTACGCCGCATTGTAAACATATTTATGATCAAAAGAGCAACACCTTTTATTCTTTTTGTTTAAAGATTTTATTCTAAATGAATTTAAGATTCTATCATGGTGATTTATTGTGAGAATGATTGCTTATCACATGTTCTTAAGTATTAAAATAGGCGCGAAAAAATGATAGAAGGTTAATCCCTTTTACAAAATTCAAATTTTTGATTGAGTTCCTTAAAGTGGACCTCAAAAGCATTTAAATGTAAATTGGCCAATTTGTCTCATCAGATTTTTAATTTAGCTTAGTTAGACATTGAGGAACCTAAGTTTCAGTTGTACTCTGCAGGCATCTAGTGGTCTCCCCTGTTATTATGAAGGCAAAGGGCAGAAATTGTAATTTCTGTGGCTTTTGGAATAATTCTCACCAAAGTATCTTTTGCAACAAGTTTCATTGTAATCAGTTATCCCTTAGCATGGCTCTGTCCTCTGAAACACTTTTTTGTAGACAAAGAGACTTGAGAATGTTTGTTATTTATAAACTGTGTGGTGTAGGAAATGGATTTTAATAGAAACTAAATGAATCTTAATTTGTAAAACTTCTTTTAAAATGAAGAATTTGGGATAAATTAGAACAAGTAACAGATTGTCTCTGTTACTGAGTGCCTTTTAAACTATAACAGAAGCACTTTGACTGAAGATTGTAGTCACCTTTGCTTTTCTTTTTCATGAATGAGTAAAAACTGGAAAACAGAAGAGCATTAAGTATCTTTCTTTTAAAAGACATAAATTTAGTTAAGGCAATTTCTCTGAAAAAAAATTGTTGAATAATTGTCCTTAAACTTTCCTTAAATGTTCCTTACAAATGTCTCTTTAGAAAAATACATTAATTTTAAAAAAGATAAGTTAATGTGCTTGTCTAGGAGATTAAATAACTGGCCAAACATACCCCATTTATGCCTGTCCGGTGGCACTAATCAATGAGTGTCATTTCATCAGTTCACAGTACATTTTGCTGCAGGTGGAAGCTAAGGTTTTTAAAGTAACCCTTGAAAATAACTTGATACAATACATAGAAAGTTTGGAGCATATGGAACAATTTCGTATATAAATAGTAGGAAAATCAAGTAAATTTAAATGACATAGACTCAAAATGTTCCTTGAGTCATTCCTTTCAAGATCATAATTTGAATCCTCAAGTAAAGGGCTAATTTGTGCATGCTTTAAGGTTTAACTTTTTTACCCTTTGGAGATTTTTTTTTTAAATCCCCAATTT